AGATGGACAGGACATACAGTGAGAAGACCGTCTAGCGATATCGCACACCAGGCCCTGGAGTAGGCATTTAAGTTTGTCATGAATATCATGTGAAGTAGAAGTGAAAGCTCGTAGGCAGTTGTAGACCTAGTTGTGAAAGTAAGGGGAGAGATGACTGAAACCTTATTGAAGAGGTAAATGTAATGATGACCGAAAGGTCCTTAGTTTGAACCTCAGTGGGCACACACTGACAAAGAGTCCCAAAAAAGGGAAAAAACAAATGTCCAGTACTCCCAGATTTTCCAATGGCTCTATAACCGATGTTAGTTCATGATGAAAATCCTGTAACCAGTCAGATCTCTGCAAACCAACACTTAAATATTAATCTGATGCTCAATACCGACAGGCCCTATTCAGGTAGCTAGTTACCTTGGTTCTAGAGGAAAGTTATGACCAGTGGGGTACAGCAGGTCAGGTGTGAGGATAAATTCTCGCCTCAGGTGACACTGGTTAGCGGTCGCGCTATATCGTGAAATGGCAGAAGTTGGAATTCCTGGGCTGCCCACTGGGTTAGGTCTCAGTCGCCTAATAGTCTGTGAAGTTGCCTTGTAACCGGAAGGTTCTGGGTTCGAACCCTGCTGGGTACATGTCGATGAAGAGTCTCGAGCTGGGACGAAACACCTATCCAATACTCTCAGGTTCTCGAATGGTCCTCTAACCGATATCAGTTCAATAAGAGAATCCTTGTACTATATGATAATTAGTATTTACAATTCAGTAAAGCTGTGTTTTATATATCGATTAAGTATAAAACAAAAATTGGAGAATAGGTTCATTTAGAAAAGCAGTCTAATTATATGCATTATGTTATTGCTTTCAAGTATCGCCTACACGCATATTTAATAAAATAACACTAGAATAAATAATGTAAATGAGTAATGGCCTTATATTATGTGCATATATATTTATAATTCTGTTAATAAATGTAATACAATATATGCATGAAGGACTAGTTACACAGCTAGCTATATTAGGTTCACTCCTACAAATAGCCATTTGTAGCCATCTGAATAGCTTCACGATAAGAACACTGACTCTAGCACTAATCTACTCACACCTGAATCATACGACGGGCTGTGTAGGCAGAGATTCCTGATGCATAACTTCTTTCGAATTAAAAGCAAACTGATCAAGGAGGGAGTAATGTTTATTGGGACACAAGTACAATGTTCATTAGATAAATTATAAATTTTAAAGTGTTGGTTTGTAGGGATTTGATTGGTTACAGGATTTCATCATGAGCTGACATCAGTTAGAGAACCACTGGAAAACCTGGGAGTACTGGACAGTTGTTTCGTCCTAGTTTGGGACTCTTCAGCAGTACGCACCCACCGGGATTCGAACCCGGTCGCGCTATGTCGTGAATTGGCAGAAGTTAGAATTCATGAACCATTGGATCGGGTCCCAGTGGCTCAATGGTCTACGAGATCGCTAACCTTGTAACCAGAAGGTTCTGGGTTCGAATACCGGTTGGTGCGTACTGCTGAAGAGTCCCAAACTAGGACGAAACAGCTGTCCAGTACTCCCAGGTTTTCCAATGGTTCTCTAACTGATGTCAGCTCATGATGAAATCCTGTAACCAATCATAAATTTTACTTTGATATCACAGTTCACTGGATTCTTCTCAGTGTTGAAACCTCCTTCTTGCGTATTTTCTTCAATGGCTTTTACAACTGACATACAAATGATCTATCATCGCTTCTCTAAACAAGATACTCGACAGACTACTTATATCTGTTTATAAGTAGTACACGTCACACTCTTAACATTTAGCAATGTAATGAAGACCTTTCATCACAGTACTCTACAATATTCACCGTATCTCTTTCTTTATTCATTATTATTATTATTACTATTCGTTTTGGTTCCGAAAGGAATAAAGGGGTTCAAAAGCACATCTCCTTTTTGGGAATGGATACACTTAGCTGTATGATGTAGTAAAGTCCAGAATAAGTAGGTTTATATATTCCAACTTGTCTATAGAATGAAAGGATCCCCTTGTAAGCTCATGTAAACCGATAATCTCATCTTTTATTGTACCTTTATCAGCCTGCTGATGTAGCTTCTGCCAGTAACTTTCTGAAAAAAAAATAAATTGATGACCTATAACTTATGCCAGGAGGTGTCCAGTGTATTTGCACGCGGTGAAACAATGACTTGATTAGAGCTTGGGTCCTCCAGCTCAATCGACAGGTTACCGGACTAATAAATTTCATCCCACCTTGTATCATTAATTATTATTTTAGTAGCAGTCTGCCAACCTAGGAGTATTTCAGATAGCCACACTGTAAATTTTTACAAGTATTCGCTACTAAATGGCAAGCAATGTAATTATTTTTTGAATCCTTGAGTCCCAATCGAAGCATAGGACTTCAAGCTATAAGGTTTCAGTAAAGGTGATGTTTTTACAAGGTGGGGTTGCTGGTCTTATGGCCCTCAATCTTCCTTTTTTTTCCAGGCTTACTGTCAGCTGGTAAGCAAGGTGAAGTTTGGGAATGCGTCGGCCGGGAATCGAACCCAAACCAGTAGTGTGGCTGGTGATCATTTCGCCATTGACTGAACCACAAACGCACACAATCACGATTACTAAGTCCTAGATAAGTGTCATGACCTCATGATTACATAACTTACGAGGTGTTTAGGTGGTTCACTGTTACACTGCTTGCTAGCTACGCTGGGGGCCTGAGTTCGATTCCCGGACTACGCCCTTATTTACCTCACTGAGAAGGTAGTAGGTCCCAACAAAAAGAGGGGAGATTGAGCGTGAGGTTAACAACTTGCACTCATGGAAAATAGCATCCCTACTACTGAAATTCAAGCTGGAATCCTTGTGTTGCACAGTATATTAGTTGTAGTAGTGAAAAATGGCTGAAGGAAAACATCTCCGATTCGAAAACTAGGAAAACAAAGATTTGAATTTCTGAAGATTAGTGTTTTAGTTTTGTCCACAAGGAAGTCAAGTTCAACAGGCATCTGTCAACTGCACCTATTAACTCCAAACATCTGATATTGGTGATCCCATTGCTACACCTTCTGTTTGTCTACATATTTTGCCTCGGAATTTAAAGATAGTAGATGTGAGGCATAACTGAATTCCTAAAATAATTTCCTCAATGGGCAGCATCGTCCTATGAGGAGTGAGTTCAGAATCTGCAGTTAGTTCTTTTTAACTGCTTCTAAGGCCATATTGATTGGTACATTAGTATAAAGACTAGTTATATAAAAACTAACCATTGTTTCATCATTCTCTAGTTGAATGTCATTTAGTTTATTTTTCATCTCAATGAGCTAAGTGTTTTGAGAATTTATAAGTAGGGGTATTTCTGAAATCTACTGTTGGTCGTATGGGGTAACCTGGCTTATGTATTTTAATAGTACCATACATTCTACTAGCATTATTAGTTTTAGGCATTAAATTAAACCATTTAGACTCACCCAGTGACGGCTTCATTCTGCGTATTAAATCCACTGTAGATTTCTTAACCTTATTCATTATTGTATCTGCAGGCTTCTTAATTTCCTCATATGGACCCGTCTCAATATGTTCAGTGACTTTCTTGATATAGTCAGATTTATCCAAAACTACTGTAGAGTTTCCTTTATCAGCTTTTGCGATACTTTGTATGTAATCGATCAAATTTTATTTCAGTAATGTGCACAACAGTCTGTGTCGATATGATTCTCAAAACATAGAAAATCAGACCAGACAGGAATTACACTCATTCTCAATGTGATAATTTACATAATTCATTATAGGGAATAAAAAGACAGTTGCAGCGAAGAAAATTTTCTTTTCGACGAAGTCATCATCTGGGCTGTACATTCGTGTATTTATATCAAATGGATGGGAAAGTTCCAGAATAATTTCTGGTTAGGGGTTAAATTAATAAAAATTACAATTAGGAATTAGAATGCCATAATAAACAGGGGGATGGGTAAAACTCAAACAAAGTAGCATTATAATAACTAAGAAGATTGACATTGTGCAATTGGGGGTTAGAAATGTAGAAATAACAAAATATACAGGATGTTTGGATAAAAAACTAGTGTGATGAATAATTGTTTATGCAATCAGGGATTAAATATGTAGAAATAGTAAAATGACAAAATAAACAGGAAGTGTGGATATGAAAATATGGTAGTGTAGACAGGGATTAAGAAAAACTTAAAATAACATGAATAAACAGGAAGTTTAGATAAGAAAGGCGATGGGATGGTCATTACTAAAAAAATTTACCTGTTTATGATGGCCATGGCAGGGACAGGGGTTGGACGTATTTCTTTTGGATACAAAGTGTGGGTTTGAGCTTTTGGATAGCTAGCGCCTCAGCTATGCCCAGATGTCTTGATTTCACTCCCTTTGATAGGTTTGATTGAATCTTGTATATTACTTTGAAGGACTTTTCGAAAGGCGCTGAATGTCCTGAGTTGACCAGATGTTCTGTCACTGAACTGTATACACGTTTTTGCTCTCCTTTTACTAGCCAGGCTGGGTAGTGTTCACGAGCGCGTTTTCCAAGTTGGCGCATGGTACGGCCGATGTACTCAGCTCCACAAGAGCAAGTAAACTGGTATATGCACGTTGAGGTGGCCCAATGCGACAGCTTGTCTTTCGCGTTCTGGTTGAACAGTTTCTTGCAGGAAAACGTCAGTCGTAGGCTTGCGGCGAAGTATGTTTTCCTCAGCGATTTGGAGAGGCGTTTGCGAAGGATTTCTGCTTCAATATCACCTTTGAATTCTAGATTGAGCAGAAGTATTTCATAATTCAGAAGTATTCCATAATTCATTATGATTCCAAGAAAAGTCTGTCATCTTGGAAGGGAAAATCTTCTCTCTATATATATATATATATATATCGATTTTAGAGGATGCCCTATGGCATCTTACCTTTTATTTGAATGTCAGTCATAGTAAACTTTTTTTAACTAATAATTGATTCTCTTCTTATTACTATCAACTAGAAAAATCTCAACCTCATGAGACAACAACAACACCAGCCGAATCTGTCACTAATCATGTTGTACCGACTGAAAGTGCAGTTGTCGAGGAGACAGTTAAAATTCGTCCACATATCACTGTATTAGAACCAGCTCCATCAAATTATAAACTACCTGAACCATTACCAGCCTCACCGATCAATATTTCTTCAGATTCAGTTAAACCAAATTTAGATAAAACAAAATTCACTTCACAATTGATTATTAATAAGGCAACACCTGTTGATAGTCATATTGCTCAACCTGTTGATCCTGAAGCACGTGAGCTGGCTAAAGGTGGTGGCGGCGCCGGTGGGAAACCAGCTAACTGGGCAGATTTACATTGGGCATTAATTGGTAAACGTAATCTACAAACGGATGAACTTAAAGTTCGCGCATTATTCTCATGGTTATGTTCAATACCAGTTGGACAAACACCATTTTTAACCTATGAAGAATTACAACAAGCTGAACGTGATGGTGTACAGTATGCTAAAGAAGCTTTAGCCAACAAAAGTAAAAAGTTAAAATCTGATTCACCAGAATTTGTCCTCAACGAAATGTCACATGGAAAAGCAACATATCTTCAAGTAAGTTTACTAATTTATCATTAGAAATGTATTGGAACATTTAATTTTCCTGTTGTTTAGTTTTACTGAACTGAAATAATTAGTGGTTGTTTTGAATCTTATTAGGAATACTATTGATTATTTAATTGGATTTTAGATTTTCCCATCGATTGATTGGACCGAAATGCTCAGTCTCAGGTTGGCATGTCGACTTCGTATTCAGATGCTTCTATGACGTCTAGGCATGTAAACGAAATTTAATTGGTGGATGGTGACTAGCAGTGGAATCCAGGATGCGCATTCCGTCCTATTTGGGACTCGTCAGATGGGTGTACCTGCATTCCCCAATGAGTGATGATGTTCCCACCGAAACTCGAACCCAGTGCCCATAGTCTCAGACACCAAAGCGTTACCCACTAGACCACTTGGGCGCTGGGTTCGAGCCTCGGTGGGAACATCATCACTCATTGGGGAATGCAGGTACATCCACCTGACGAGCCCAAAATAGGACAGAATGCACATCCTGGATTCCACTGCTAGTCACCATCCACCAATTAAATACTATTGATTATTGAGATACAGGTATACTCAGATGATGATTCCTGAATACTTCGAAACGCTCTCATAAAATAATATCAATTATAGGCACAGGGGTTCAGTAGTAGAATGTACGCTAAACACACATGTGGTAGGAGTTTGATTACAGACCAATGCACTTCGAAACGTCTCTTAGTCAGTACTAAGTCCGGTGAAAAAGGAATGAAGGAAGGACATGAAGCTGCTGGAACCTCAGAGCTTAGGCTTGAAACTGTATTTTTTATTCGGAAATAAAAGGAATAAAGGAAAAATATTATGATATCAGTAAAAATAATGTGAATGAGTGACACATTGAAAATAACATGAATTTCAGGATTTTCATCATGAGCTAACATTGGTTAGAGAACCATTGGAAAACCTGCAGGGAGTACTGAACAGCTGTTTCGTCCTAGTTTTGGGACTCTTCTGCGGTACATACCCACCGGGTTTCGAATCCAGGACTTTCTGGTTACAAGGCGAGCTCGTATATCATTGAGCCACTGGGGCCCGATCCAATGGCCAGTCCATGAATTCTAACTTCTGCCAATTCACGAGATAGTGCGACCGCTAGCTAATGTCTTCGGTGAGTATTTGTCCTCACGCCCGACCTGCTGTACCCTACTGGTCACGATTTCTCACTAGAACCCCAGATAACTATCTACCTGAATAGGGCAAGTCGCTAGTGAATTCCTCAGTGTTATACAAGTACAATATACCTTGCTATTTATTGTCATCAAGTGCAGAACTTCTCGACTCCTCTTAAGACTTTACATCTCAAGTTTCAATACACGAAAGTATACGGAGATTTTGGACTGCTTGTTGCAATTACTGAATTGAACACTTGACCCAGCATTTAGGATTAGACAGTTGGCTACACCGTTTCACTTGAAGATTGTACAAACTGAAATATTGTTCCACTTGTCAAGGATGATATAGTCCAGTGAAAAATTGGGGTGGGATTAGGGTTACAGATCATAAAAATGTCTACTAGAAATCAGAAATCTGTAGAAATTTATCAACAGATTTAGAAAAATCAATGCAAACGAGTAAAAAATACCGTAAAAAATTCAAAGGTGATGGTATTGTACAGATAACTAAAAGACTATTTAAGAAATTGCTAAGATATTTCCTATGACTCGAATGATTCTTGTGTATCAGACAGCCTGTTTGGTAGTACGGTGAAGAGTCGAAAGGTACCCTTCTTTTGTTAACTTCAACTGTGTATAGGAATTCACGTGTAGCTGTCGAAACAGATACATTGGGATAACAAAAAGTAGGGCCTATCTTAGATTTTCTGAACACACATTTCACCAAGTCTGCGGTTAAGTCTTTGAGCACTGAATTCATTTAACCAAACTCATGACTCTTGAAGTTCACAGGAGGCATATAATTACAGCAATTTAGTGTGGCTTACTAACTTAATATTTCGGTTCACGTAATATACAGTGATAATTTAGAAAACAGAAAGATTGAGCGAAGAAATATTTACTTTTCAATTAGATCCTCATCTCTGGCTCTACTCTAATATACATGTATAGCATTTTTATTACAATACACAACAGTTTACCAATCAAGTGGCACTGATATGTTTGTTAACAATAATTAGTCAGTGTCAAAATGTCAACAGTGGGGTGATAATTAACGAAGAAAATCAATACACATTTAAAAGGTAGAAATGGTTAGAATAAATTAATTTTTCAAGGATAACACGTAATTAAAGATGAAGTGGTCAGAAAAAAAATAAAATAATTTAGACAATTATAGTTTTTTATTTTTATAATTTTTAAATGTTTAGGGGGAGGGGGCGAAGTAGTCCGGTTTATACATTCATGTAACGATGGCCAAGGTAAGGAAAGTGGCTGTACAAATTTCTTCTGAACACACAGGTTTGGCTTCTTCAGGTGGATTCCTATTGCTTCAGCTGTATGTAGAAGACGAACTCGTAGAGCAAAATTAAGATTAGTAGGAATGCGATAAATAATTTTAAATGCAGTATTAACATCAACCTTATGCTCAGTATCAACAAGGTGTGCTAAAATAGAACTACGAATAGATCTTGTTTGTCCCTTGCTTAACCATGTTGGATGATGTTCGGAAATACGATGATGAACCTGCCTAATTGTACGCCCAATGTAGCTGGCTCCGCAGCTGCAGTCAAACTGGTAGATACACATAGAAGAGGCAAAATTAGGTAGTTTATCCTTATTTCTCGAACGTAAAATAGGGGTGGTTGTGAAGAGACAACGTACCTCTGCTGCATAATAAGCTCTTTTAACTGCATTCTTCAGGCGCTGTGTTATTATTTCGCTGATGTTGTCACCGAGGAACTGCAGTTTTATGAACATTGGTTTTTTCGGAACTGTTGCCATACTGACTCTCCTAGGTGCTGAATTCATATTTTTCTCAATGAATTTATCTGGATAACCATTTTTTCTAAGTAATTCTCTAATAATCTTAAGCTCCTCATTGAGGCAGTCGTCTGAACAGATTAACCTAGCTCTATGAACCAGACACTTTACCAGGTTACGTTTATATTTCAAAGGTACAAAACTCAAAAAATGAGTGTACTGACCTGTTGTTGTAGGTTTCCTATACACACTCCTTCTTAGTGTGCCATCTTCTTTCCTTGCCATGAAGACGTCTAGGAATGAGATACTGTCATTACTTTCTTTCTCTATGGTAAAGTTTATTGCTGAATGTGCATCATTAAACTTGTCAAGGATGTTCATTGCATCATTCTCGTCTTTCATAACCAGAAATGTATCATCCATATATCGACAGTAGAAATCCAAGTCATTAATTACTCCTTTCAGTGGTCCATTCTCTAACTTAGCGAGGAAAAAATCAGCTAGGATTAGACCTAATGGGGAACCCATAGCTACACCATCAATTTGTCTGTAATATTCCTTATTGAAAAAGAAATGAACATTCATTGTACATCTTAAAATAAGTTCCTTCAAGGTGGATACAGAAATGCCGAAACTACTGTTTGACATTTGTATGTCTAATGAGTTAAGTTATATATTAATATTAACAAAGATAGTATATGTATATAAGTGTATAAATAAATTGGGTCAAATCTCAAAAGGTGAAGTGGAACGATAATCAGAGTTTAAATAAATATTATAAAAGTACGAAGGAGATGGAAATGGGTTATCCTAGTAGATTTATTAGGAGACACATGAATACCAGGTACAACAAAGAAAAACTGACAACAGTTAAAAAGAAAGAACTGTTCATGAAACTTCAATTTAATGGGGACGTGGCTAGTGAAGTCTTACATCTGAGATTATCGAGAGCGATAAAACGGACTTATACTGCCGCCACCCTTTGTTTGTCATTTTCCAGCCGACCAATTTTGATTGCTCAAGTGAAAGATAAGCTACCTAGTTGTGCCACTTCGATGTGTATCTATAAATTTAGTTGCTCCTGTGGAGAAAGCTATATAGGGCGAACAACTAGACAGCTGAACAAACGCATTAATGAGCATCTTCCTTCATGGTTCGGAAAAGGTCAAATAAAATCCATACGAAGTTCTATTTTGGCTCATTTGATTGATAGCGGTCACCAAGTGGACAAAAATAGTGCTTTCAAAGTTATCTATCGTATTCCATCGAGTCTTTCGAATGGAATCAGAACCCGTCTTTTACACCTAGCCGAAGCTATGGGAATTAATTCGAGAGAACAATCCTAGTCTTTGCATACAAAAGAAGTTTGTTCTACCTTTGTCTCTCCCTTGGCCTAGGTGAATTGTATTCAAAACCCTCCCACCCTTTCTTATTTTCCATCTCCTTCGTACTTTTATAATATTTATTTAAACTCTGATTATCGTTCCACTTCACCTTTTGAGATTTGACCCAATTTATTTATACACTTATATACATATACTATCTTTGTTATTCTTATCACCTGCATAAACCTTATTATCAATATCTTGTTATCATTATAATCATCGATATATTAATATTGTTAGCGAAGTGTCTTTTTTCATTCATTTGTGCTTATAGTGGGACATAAGTTTTCAAGCTTGCACTTTGAAGTTCCAATAGCCAGCGGTGTTTTCGTTTACAGGTTGACGGTGATAGCCGCGTGCCCAAAGTTATCTCCTTTTCTAGGCTTACTACTATCATCTAGTAAACTAGATGAGGTTCAGGAGTACTTCCATTGACCTGAAATCGAACCCGGACCACGTGTGTGGTTTGCAAGCATCCTATTGTGGTGAGAGCTGTCTACTAGCCAAGTGGTAATAAACGTTCTGTTGTCTGGCCCTTGTCTTCTGTTGTTACATTTGGTGTCGCTGCCTACCGACAAATGGACAGCCTATGCCCTGCAGTTTTTGATGGAGACATATGGATCTTCGCGCAGGACTTTGAGGCTTCTTCGCAGTTGAGTGGCGTTCAAGATCTGTCAGTGATGAGGCTGCTACTTGGGACGCTGCTGGGAGGTCGGGAGAAAGCAGCATATGGAAGTGTGAGGCGAAATATCTACGAATGTGCGACAGGGTCAGGCAAACAGTTACCAAAGTGGGAAGGACCATAAACGGTCACCGCGAGACGAGGGCACGTATATGCCATCAAAAATGCAAACAGAGAGAAGCGGGTGAACATCAGCGAGCTCCAGAAATGGATAGAGCGAGACAAGCCAACGATGATGCCAGCACCAAGAAGATCAAGCCGACTTCAGTCCAAACTATTTGACGGGGGTACGAGTGTGGTGAGAGCTGTCTACTAGCCAAGTGGTTGACAGTAATTGAGGTCAATGTTAGTTCAACGTCAAGATGGACAGGTGGATACAGTTAACATATAGATAAACTGACACAGCCACAAGAGATGCAAGGTTAACTTTGTGTGAGAAACAACCAATCAACAGACTGTATTTTCTACTAACATTAAACTACAATAATGCACATCAAAATATATAAATATGTGTTGATTTTCCGTAATAAACGATCTGTTGCCTGGCCCTTGTCTTCTGTTGTTACACTATGAATGAAACGTAATGACGTCGAGACGAAATACAGGCGTTTTGTCCTGCTTCAAGGATTTGTGTTGTTATTGAGTCGCTCAAACACGTAGTTATTAGTATTAGATGACCAAGGTACAGATAATGTTTCTAAACTTAATCAGAGATTAGGCATTTTGTCTTACTTTCTCAAGTCTTGTGAAACTTTCTATACTATATATATATACACTGATCAATTTCTCTTTATCTTTAATCCTATAGGCTTTTGAATCTTTGTGTCATTATTCACATATACCATGTGTAACAGTCAAAGGTTTAGCCAAGGGTGTTGATTATGTGGTTGGGATGCGGTTAAGTGATCCTCAACCGGTCAGTGATCCACAACAACAACAACAGCAGCAACAACAACAACAACCTCAATTATCACCAGTTATGAATCGATTACAGCATGCATGGAATGCAGCTTATCTAGATGGGAAATGGGCATTATTTGATCCTATGTGGGCAGCACAACGGTTAGCTGTCAGTGCTAATACACGCTTGTCCCAATTAGTACAAAGTGGTCAAATGGATTATGAAACTGATATGTTCTATTTTAATGTTGATCCAGCGAAATTGATCTATTCACATTTTCCATTTGATGATTCCTGGCAGATGCTTAATCCACCGGTTACATTAAAGGTAGGTTTTACAGTGTTCATTCCTCTATATATCAATTTATATTATGCCAAGTCAACATTAGTGATTCTCATGGTTGTGAATAAAAAAATGGGCTTTTATGACATTTGCCATCCCAAGTTATCTCTGGCGTACATGTCATATTTGTGGTGGTTATCGGTCGAAGACGTTCGTAATTCGTCGTATCGTCCTCTGTATCCTACTCTATGGCTGGCTGTAAATCATAGTCGTTGCGAATGGAAGACTTGAAGAGGCTTACTGTCTTCGGACATAGACATTTACATTCTATCTCTCATATCAAGTGGTATAATACAGTGAATAATATTGATGTTACGCGTAGAGTGTTAGGTAAGGGAGGAAAAACCATCAATGAGGTTGCGAAGCTGCTTTGATTAGGATGGTTAGTACACGTGCTACACATGCAAGGAATCTTATCTGATATAGGATTCCTTTTGGAAGGATACATTAGTGCTCAAATCAAAATATGGCATCAATCCATGAGTCCACGAAAGCAAGAATAATAAATATCTTTGGATTAATGATACTTACAGCTGAAATTTTATCCAATAGAGTTAATTAGCCACTACAAACATTTAATTGATCATTTAATCAATTTAATTCCAATTTGTCATATCAATTTTCCCTCCTAAATTTAGTCAACTAACAAGCATACTGAATAGAATCTGTATTAATTATGAATAAAACTAGTTGGTGCATATTTGTTTCTCTTGTGTTTTCAAAAAATTGAACTCTACACTGAACATTGAAACATTGAACAATTTAGCATAGTTATACATGGAGAAATTCAAGATTAAGAATTACAAAATTTATGTCTATTGTGGTTTATTATTTTTTAAACATGTTTTCAAAAAAGATACATGGTAATAATAGTTGCCAAAAGTCTTTTTTTTAATGAACCAATGTTTGTTTTTTTAAAATTGGTGTACAAACACGATAACTAATACCCTACGGAATTTAATTCGAAAAGTCAACAAGACTAAAAATGTGTTCAACGTTAAAATAATAAGAAAAATAAAAATAAAATATATATAACATGATTTATTATTGAGATCAGGGTTCACTTTATTTGATATTTGATTTTAAGAGGTAGAAGGCAGTCAACAGGCGGTCTTAAGTCTAAGTTTCGTGCTAGTTGGCACTCGTCAGTGACGCATACCACTAACCTTGAAGGAACTGATGTCCCTGTTGACGCTCAAACCTGCGTCTTCCAGTGTTGCAGTTAGAGACTTTGCCATTGAACTGTGTTATCACATGACTTCCTGAAGAATTGTAATAGACACACTAATCGGTCACTGGGGTGTTACCAGTTTTCATATATCTAGTCCTCGATGTTAGTGCTGTCTGAAGTGACTCACTGTCGTGGTGGACTTTCGGTTGGTTTCCGATTATTGCCATTGTTTCCTTTAGTTCCTAGAGGAACAAAGGACTTCAGCTACACGTCTCCATTGCGTTCCGTTCTCTGCCAACGTTTTCACCTGACCCCACGTCTGCCCACGTGCTTTCACCTCCTCCATGTCACCCTCACACTGACGATAAACTCGCCACTTCCCATTCGGGTTCCACTCGAGTGATGGCCTGGCATGTGATGTCACTCACTTGATGGTTTGTTTTCTCAGAGTATGGCCACAATCCAATCCACCTCCATTTCTTCCTGTATATTTTTTGCACAATTGGTTCCTGCTGGGTTGGTTCGCTCATTGCCAGAGATTCCTGTTGCTGATCTTTTCTGGCCAGCCATCTGATCTTGAGTATTATTGATCTAAGATGGCTTTTGATGAAGGTCTGTAGTTTGTTCGAAGTGCCATTCATGACGCGCCAATCCTCTGATCCGTGTAGTAAACAGCACTGACTTCACATTGGAGTTGAAAATCCGGATCTGTTGATCTCCACACAGACTTGAGAGTATGAAAGCTTGCCTTTCTTTTCCGATCTTCGCTTTGATATGCTCATCAGTTCTATCCGCCTGTAGTTGGAAGGATGCTTCCCAGGTCGGTTGGTGAAGGAGATTGCTTCTCTCAGATTTCTCTCATTTATGCTGATTGTTGTTGCTGTTGCTGTTGGCCAGGAACCTTCATCACCTCTGTTTTCTCTATGTTCATTTGAAGTCCTATCCTTGATGGTTTCCGATGGTTAGAGATAATTGTCAAGAAGCCCTTAACTTGGATTTCATGCTTACTGGCACTCGTCTACGAGGCGTATCTACAACCTCGAAGGAACTGATGCATGAAAGATATCGTCATGTAATCGAAATTTTGTCACAATTTATAATAGTGAGTAAGCAACCATTAGCGTTCAATAGGCATATTTGACTAATTAGCTTAGACTGAAATGAACTGTTTCCCTCCTTTAATGCTGTTATTATTAACCCATGCAGGAGGTGAATATTAGAGATCCAGTTGATATAAATGATTGACATGGACGTTAATCACATAATTGTACTGTGTACTTTTACATTTCTTCTAGTTTAGTTAAATCTCAGATGTCCTCCAACTGTAGTCTAAAAGGTAACATAAAAGTTTGCAAATTCTGAGACTAAATTACAGCAACCGGAAGTGGCTCTATATGTTACCTATAGATAATGTTATTTCAACAAATGTAACGAATTGAAATTTCGTAAATATTTTGAAATTCAATTACATCTATGCATTTCATGAAACATTGTTACAACATCCTGTCAGATATTCAGATTTTGCATATCCACCAGGAAATCCTAAATTTCAAATCATTTTATGGGTTTTCTGAATCACTGTCCAGCTGCAATTCCATAGCGGTTCAACTCCCTTACTACTTAACTTGTAAACCGTTCAACTTTCTAACTTACTTCAATATGGTAACTTTATTTTAGTCTACATCACGAAACGATGCCAGCGCTGGAGAATCGTTGAAAACCACATCTTAGAGATAAACAGCTATATCGCCTTAGTCTACATAACTCTTCAAAACTTGATATAAGAATAAAACTTGTGCACTGTGGTAGAATGTAATTCCATTATGGGTAAATTTTGCTTAGTTAAGTGTTTAACAAACCGAGCAATGGCACTAAGTAGCACAAAAAAAGACCTAAATGACGAAATAAAACAGATAGAAGAGGCGTTGGTTTTAAATAACTATCCTCTAAAATTCATTAGGAAGATTGAAAAAGGCCAAAAGAAAAATAAAAAGAATTGTGAAACTAGTAATAATAACATAAATAAGAGAGAATATAAGTCATCTACAGTTATACCATATAAAGAGGGGACATCTGAGACCCTATGTAGGATTCTAAATAAGGCAGGAATTAGGGTGGCATTTAAACCTACAAACTCACTCAGAGACAAGCTCTGTAGGCTAAAAGACCCGGTGGACCCAATTAAACAAAATAATATAATTTACAAAATACCCTGCAATGACTATGAGGTCAACTACATAGGTCAAACTAGTAGGTCGGGGGTAGTCAGATTGTCAGAACATAAGAATTTAGCTAAGGTAAGAATGGTTGACCCAGAGAAGATAAGTAATTTAGAAAAAAGCTCAGCAATTGCAATGCATGCATTAACACACAACCACACAATAGGGTGGGAGAGGGTTAAAATTCTAAAAAGTAATCTAGGTAGGTGGAGAGAGAGGTTGATTACTGAATCCTTGTTCATCGAATCTACACCCAACACATGCAATAGGAATGATTCATCACTCATACCCGAAATATGGAAAATATTACTACCAATCAAATCAAGTGAAAAACAATGGAACTATATAAATGAATTTAGGAAGTCGTGTGATTACCTTGATATGATTATGAGCAGCAATAAATTGTGCTCGAAACGTGGTCATCAGTAAACATTACTGTATAACACTGTGAGACTTTATCGTCAAAACTTCTCAGTCATGAATCCATCAACCTAGTGAAATGAAGCCATCGTGCACTTCTAATTGATTTCAATTCATGAAACTATATAATCTTAACCTTTAAAAATGTTTTTAAAAATAAGGAATAATTAATTTTTGAAAGTGATGACCTTGTAGACTACTTGCTGATGCTGCTGCCTTTTACAGACTCTCAAGGTTACAAAGCATATGATGAGCTGACCATTTGGCTGGCTAGAACCAATCATCAGATTTATACACCTGTGGATTAAATTTAATCCTAGAAATAAGACTTTTGTTTTAATAATTTCAAATGATTTAATTAAAACAACAGCAACGAAAAAGAAAATGTATAATAAGCGCATTTATGTGGAATTAAAGAAGACAAGAATTAAGCCTCTTCCGAGACAGGGGGAAATGGAACTGTTAATACGTGACATTGTGTGTGTGTGTGTGTGTGTGGATATGTTTCCAGTTGGTTACATAGAAAGATAGAAGACTAGGGAGATGCCTAGGATGAGGAGAATTAGACAAAAGCGAATAAAAATGTATATTGAAAATTTTAGGTGATGAAGAATATTTAAAATTTATTGAATCATATTTAATTATTAGTGAGTGAATGAAACCGTTTATCCTATTGTTTTACTTTCTGTTTTTTCAATTTGGCGGGTAAATTAAAATAGTATTTAAACAAAGTAAATGTTTAATGAAAAAGATAAGAAAATATGATGGCAAGACTTCACTAGTTGAGAATGTGATTTATTTTATTTGTAAGGACTATTGTCTTTAGTTCTATTCTGTTCTTTTAACTTAATGGTATAACTGTAAATACGTCATAGTTCCTCAAGGTAACATCTTTGTTACTAAATTAAATTTGAAATCACAGTTAAATCATTGGACCTAGTGAACACAGTAATACTAAAAAAATATCCATCTCATTCACAAATCTACTCTACTATTTAAAAACAAAGCCATTGAAAACCAGGAAGTAGTGAACAGCTGTTTCCTCCTAATTCAGGACTCTTCATCAGTAAGCCCTCGTGGTTCCCCCCCCCCCAGGTTTCGAACCCAGGACCTTCAGGTTACGAGGCGAACCCATTGATCTGGTTTTCAATGCTTCTCTGAGTGATCTTAATCTT